GCTCCAACCCCTGCTATGGACAGGGACACCTTTCACTAGAGCAGCTTGCTCCAAGCCCCTGTGTCCAACCTGGCCTTGAACACTGCCAGGGATGGGGCAGCCACAGCTTCTCTGGGCACCCTGTGCCAGCACTTCAGCACCCTCCCAGGGAGAAACTTCTGCCTAAGAGCTCATCTCAATATCCCCTCTGTCATTTCACGTGACCAAACCTTATGGGCTGGAGTTGAAATACCTGGAAATATCAGTTAATATTTCCTTAAAACCAGAAATAAAATCAGAAATCATTTGTTAATATAAAACATGAGCTCAGATACCAGCTGGTTTGATGCCAGCAGGGCAAAGCCACCACCTTCTCCCTTTTTGCTCTCTGAAGCCTGAAATAAAGTCTATTGTTATGTTTAATAGCATTTAAATAATAAAATATATTAATTTCAAGTAATATTTATGTAACATTCACATTGGACAACAACTTTCTTTCCAATACACAGTCACTGTCAGGTCTCAGGCTGCAGCCAGAGAAAGTCCTGTCGATCCCAGCACAGAATGCAGCCTTGGTTTAAGGAGTAGCATGTTTTCCAGGTGTCATGCTTCCAAGTATGTTTAGTCCCTGCTTTGTGAAGGTGCTATATCCACCCATCCTCATCAAGGTGCTATATCCAACCATCCTCTTCAAGGTACAATATCCAGCCATCCTTGAACATGCAATATCCAGCTACCTTCGTCTCCTCACCAGGGCAGGGTAGCCCTCTCCTTTCAGCTGATTAGGAATCATGAATGGACAAAGAGGAGAGGACTCTACTTTCTGCTTTCGTCATGGCATTCTTCATATCCACATTTCTTAGGCTGTAGCTGAGTGGGTTCAGCATGGGGACAGCCAGAGAGTACAGCATGGAGATCCCCTCGTCATGCTTCGAGGAATGGCTGGAGACGCGGAGCAGGTACTGGAAGAGGGAGCTGCCATTGTACACAGCAATGGAGATGAAGTGAGAGGCACAGGTGAAGAAAGCTTTGTGTTGACCAACCACAGACTGCATTCGCATGACAGTGGAAAGGACCAACAAGTAGGAGATGAGGATGAAGACCGCGGTGCTCAGTACCTTGAACCCCACCACAGCAGCCAACCATCACCTCGATGGCAGGGGTGTCAGAGCAGGAGAGGGCTAGCAGTGGTGGTCCATCACAGAAGAAGTGATTGATCGTCTTGGAACAACAGAATGGGAGACGAGATATGGAAACCGTGTGTATGGTAGAGCTGATCACGCCAGCTAAGCAGGCACTAGCCAACATCCCAATGCAAAGCCTTTGGGACATGACCATGGAGTAGGAGAAGGGGGTTACAAATGGCCATGTAGCGATCATAAGCCATAGCAGCCAGCACGTAGCACTCGGTTGTGGCACAGGTTGCAAAGGAGAACACCTGGTTGGCACATCTAATGAAGGAAATCACCTTCTTCTCCACTGGAACATTGAGCAAGGCTTGAGGGATGATGTTAGAAGAGTAGCAGACATCCAGGAGAGACAAGTGGCTTAGGAAGAAGTACATGGGGGTGTGTAGGCAGGAATCCATTCTGATTAATGCAGTTACTCCCAGGTTTCCTATGAAGGTAACAACATAGATGGCAAGGAATAAGACAAAGCACATCACCCGCAGGTCTTCCCTGTTTGTGAAGCCCAGGAGAATAAACTCAGAGGGGGACATATAATTATCTTCAACCATAGTAAACCTATAAGCAGTTTGCCTGATTTATGTCTTTAAATTGAAATGCTGAATAGGCCCAAATCCCTCAATAATGTTAAGAATGTGAGGTTTTATCTATCAATCAGTTACACCACTTTAAGTCAATAGAAAGTGTGTAGTTTTTATATACACACACATGCTGCTACTTAGAAGGAAAAAATAAAAGCACAACTTCCTTTTCATTTTGATGCAGCTGCCTTTACTTTTCAATCAGAAATGCTTCCATTACTGTGCGCCCAAAGATGAGAGGGGGCTGCAGGGCCTTCCAGGAAAGGACAGAAGTCACCTCCTTGCTCCCAAAAAGCCCTAGTAGGGAATGACCCTGTTTATTCCTGCCTAGCACTTAATGTTCTGTAACAAAAGGTGGGTTTCCTACCCCATGCAGGTTACCAGGATGGATCCACCAGTAACCCAGGAACTTGGTTACTCTATAGGCATCCTCACCCATTTAATTCAGCATCAGAGAGCACCTAAATAAGCCCAGCTGCTCCCCTGGGATTATTTAGGTGGTGATGGGTGTGATTTACATACATCAACAACAAGGAATTAAATCCTTCATCTCCATGGGATAAACCTGTTTTGAGATCTGATGTGTTTTCCTTTGCTTTCATTACAAAATCTGGGATGGCTTTGTCAGGAGTAAAGATGTGCAATGCGGACGCTTTCTGAGAGGGATCTGTGGATCTAGAGGAAACAACTGATGGAGAAGGGAATAATTTAAAACACCATGAATTTGCACTTCAAATTGTGTACGGATAGCACAGGCTATTTAATGAAAAAAAAACATTTAAAAGGCAGAATGAATTTGATATCCTCAACAACAGAAGGACATGGAGCAAGTGCAGAGGAGGAGAAGAGGACACAAGGATGATCAGGGGCTAGAGCACCTCCCATACAGAGCCAGGCTGAGAACATTGGGGCTGTTCAGCCTGGAGAAGAGAAGCTGCGTGGAGACCTCAGAGCAGCTTCCAGTGTCTGAATGGTGCTACAAGGGTGCTGGAGAGGGACTCTTCATCAGAGATTGGAGTGACAGGAAAAGGGGTGATGGGTTCAAAATGAAACAGGGGGAGTTCAGGTTACAGATAACAAAGAAGCTCTTCCCTGTGAAGGTGCTGAGGCACTGGCACAGGGTGCCCAGAGAAGCTGTGGCTGCCCCATCCCTGGCAGTGTTCAAGGCCAGGCTGGACAAAGTCTTCGGTGACATGGTCTAATGTGTAGTGTCCCTGATCATGACAGGGGGTTGGAACCAAGCTCCTTTCCAACCCAAACCACTCTATGATTCTACAATAATCTACATTTCATACAACCTGAAGCCTCAGCCAAAAACTGCTTTAGGAAAAGTGGGGTTTAAAACATCATTTCTAAATGTGAGGGGACTTCATTTCAAGCTGTTAACAGGGTCAGGAAATAAACTGTCTACATAGGATCAGCCAACTGTAGAGGCAACATGACGGTCTTAGTTTATTTATCTATTATTTCTCAGTTTCCTGGGCAAGAACAAGCCACTTGGCTAATCAAACTTTCCCAGCACGTAAGAAAAAGTTTTTAATCTTAAATAAAAAGAAGTGGATATTCCCAGCAACGTCCAATAGATGGTGGTGTTGTATAAGAAATCCTGATCCAGGATTTTCTAGCCACTTATTTCAACTCTTCTGCCTTTTGATACCTAAAGGGACTCCTGTGACCATTTTGCACCTCTTGGAGGTGACCACAGAGAGCAATGGTACCAAGAAGGAACAAAAATCACACAGGAAAAGGAGTGGATTTTGTTCAGAAGTAGATGAAATGCAGCTTTGAAGGGGAAATGGGCATCTAAAGAGCAGGCATATGTGGGTACTGTCATGTCCTGCTGGCAACAGTAAGAGTCAGCTTCAGGTTCGTAACTTTAGTAAACAGTTAGAACAAAGAATAAGAGTAAAGAATAAGAATATATAGATAATATATATATAATTATAAATTAAATATATATAACAAATACAATGTAAATTATAAAGTATAAAAAAAGAATAAAGATTTATTTCTTAGTGCTGGCCAGGGTCACATCCTTGTTTGGGTTATTTTCCCCTGGGTTAAAGAGTGTTTTTCCCACTGGTGATGCCACAGCTCAAGTGACCACAGGTGGAAAATCCCCATCCAGGACTCAGCCAAGCCTTCTCCTTCCTATCAGCCCATCAGCTCCAAATCCATTCCCAGAGGAGCTTGTTAACACAGATGGATCAGGGACATCTCACACCTTTGAGTGATGAGCTGCTAAAGAAATAGGGAAGTTTTGGGTGTGTGGGGAAACCCTGTGGTGACTGTTTTCCCTGGTGGCATTGCGATTTTATAGCAACCAAGATATGGGGGAGCTGCAATTTGTGCCAGGAATGACTTCTTGCATAGGAAATAAGGACTTTTGGTTGGTTTTCTTCATTACCTTCGATTTCCCTGTTGTTTCAGGGTGTTGGTGTGTTTCCATGTTTGCTTTGGGTTACTTTAATCCCCATTGCCTCAAACCAAAGTGCAACTCTCCTGCAGCAAACTCTACTGATAACATTCTTGCCTTTGTTTTTAACAAACCACTGTGGGTATAAATTAGAAAACTCCTTAGAGCTCCTCTTAAAGGCTTTGAGAAAGGCAGAACTTGAGTAGGAAAATGAAAGGGTGAAGTTCTACAGCTGCCTGAATAGAGGTGGCAAGCCCAATTTGACTGTGATTTAACTCAGCAGCCTGGTTCCAAACACAGACCTGATGAAGAATTTGCATTTCATTCACTTGGCTCATGCACAATATCCCATTGCTCCATAACTGCATTAAACCATCAGTTCATCCATTTAGATCTTGGGTTTCCATCCTTCCTGGGAAAAGCTTTGCATAGGAGCTGCCTCCTCTACCCAGCCCATAAATCACTGAGACCCCAACTAAACTGAGGCAAGGAAAACTAGTATTGTTGTGTGTTGGTGTTCACATTTAACACAAGAATATATTGAGTTATATATAAATATATAGGTTAGGATGCATTTAATATTGTGTTGTGATATATATACACACATACATAAGTGTTTATGTGTATAATTTGCCAGTCATAGGAACAGAGACCTCCTAGATGTCCTTTCTGAACAGTAACTATGTCCTGCTGGTCATTGTCACATCAGTGACTGGTCATGGTCACATCAGGTTGCTCCTGGCCTCATTCAGGCAGCTTTTGAACATGGCCATGGGTGGAGGCTCCACAGCCTCTGGAACAAAGCCTCATGTTACCCAAATCCCTGGATCAGGGTTTTCAAAGCCTGACTGTGATTCTTTCTGCTGTTCTCCTCAGAGCATCCTTCATCTCTTTGTTCCTCAAGCTGTAGATGAGGGGGTTGAGCATGGGGATCACCACCGTGTAGAAAACAGAGACCACTTTGTCATTGTTCAGGGAGTAACTAGAGCTAGGGCGTAAATACATGAAGATGGTTGTTCCATACAACATGGTCACCACAATCAGGTGGGACATACAGGTGGAAAAGGCTTTTTGCCTGCCCTCAGCATTACGGACCCTCAGGATGGCAAAGAAGATGAAGACGTAGGAGACCAGAATGGCAGAGATGGTGCTGAGCTCAATGACACCAGCCAAAGAGAAGAGGATCATCTCATTGATGTACGTGCTGGCACAGGGCAGAGCCAGGAGAGGAGGAACATCACAGAAGAAGTGGTTGATGACATTGGAGCTGCAGAAGGGCAGCCTGATGATGAGGGTCATCTGAATGATGGAGTTCAGGACACCCCCAATATAGCACCCAACCACCAGCCCCACACATAACCTCCGAGTCATGAGCTAGCTACAGTGGAATGGACTGCTCTGTGGCCATCTGCTCCAAGCTTGCCCTCTTACACAGCCCAAGGAAAGAGGAGGCCCCTTCTGAAGTGAGAGCATCCCAGCTTCCCCAAACACCTCTGAGCAGATTCATTTGTATCACTCAATCCCATTTTGGTACCTACAGTTTGATGAGACCAATGGCTACAGCAGCAGAGAGGATTCGATGTGACACAAACCAAGCCACTATTTCAGGGCCAGTGGCTAGGTTCATCTGTCCTTGTGAGGACAGAGGCCTGTAGGGACAGGCCAAGGAGAATGGCTTTAACCTGCCCCAGGGGAGACTGAGATGAGCTCTTAGGCAGAAGTTCTTCCCTGTGAGGGTGCTGAGGTGCTGGCACAGGGTGCCCAGAGAAGCTGTGGCTGCCCCATCCCTGGCAGTGTTCAAGGGCAGGTTGGACACAGGGGCTTGGAGCAAGCTGCTCTAGTGGAAGGTGTCCCTGCCCGTGTCAGGGGTTGGAGCTGGATGAGCTTTAAACTCCCTTCCAACCCAAATCAGGCTGGGATTCTATGAGTACATCCCAGCAAGAATATTTCATCTCTTTAAAACCAACACAGAGGAGCAAATCTTTACCTGGCACTATTCTGAGCAGCCTCCCCAGTTGCTGTAGTGATTTCTACCAGAGCATGGCTAACCTGGACCTTTCATGGTATGGTCTCACGTACCTGTGGAAGGGGGTCACCTCTTACAGCTGTAAATTCTCTTCCACATTAGATGACACTGGATATCTGCACAGCAAATCAAGGGGATTATCTCTTGAAGGCATCTTCCTAGATTCCAAACAAGAATGTCTCTCCTGAATCTCCAAGAGCTTCCAGCCTATTTTCATCAGATGAAGTTCTTCACTTGCACCAATGTGTTGCCTTTGTATCTCTCCCTGCAGGTCTTTAAAGGCAACAGACACAAACACTTAAGGAATAAGTGTTTGTCACAGTTTTGGCTACAGTTCAGGGCTCTAAGACACATGAACCTTGGTTGTATATTGCTGGCCCCTGAATGAGAACCCATGAGTCACAACAGCCTAAACTACTAATAAAGGTTTAGCTTTAGATTGGATCTAAGGAGGAAATTCTTTCCTGTTAGTGTGGTAAGGCACTGGAATAGGGTGCCCAGGGAGGTTGTGATTGCTCCATCCCTGGCAGTGTTCAAGACCAGGTTGGATGAGGCCTTGGATGACATGGTTTAATGTGAGGTGTCCCTGCCCATGGCAGGGGGGTTGGAACTTGATGATCATACGGTGGTTTCCAACCCTAACTATTCTATGATTCTGTGATTCTATGCACACAGGCTGATGAAATATCTCTTCTAATTATTGTCACAAAGATGTCTAACCTGTTACAACATTCAGCATAAGAACAGTGACCTCCTAGATGTCCTTTCTGAACAATAACTATGTCCTCTGGTTTTCATGGTAACATCAGGTTGCTCCTGGCCTCATTCACCTTTGAATATCAGGGGGAATCCCATCCCAGGCTTCAGCTTCACAAGAGATTTCACTTCAAAGAAGGGAATTGTAAGCAATGGAATTCATAACTGAGAATGATGAACTGTGCTGAGACCATCCAGTGGTAAGGAGAATTTGGGCACATCAAGGGCTCATCCCATTCATATTAAGGGGTGTTGTACATTCATCTGAAGTCCTATTTACTTAAATGGTGAGGTAAATGGAAATAAGCTGGAAATGAGCAACCACATGCCATGTCCATGACCAGATCATCCTAAAGCACACCAGGGAAAACTAAATTGTCTATGTCACTGTCCTGGGTTCAGCAGTAGCAGTCATGTTTCTCCTCCTTGGTAGCTGGTGCAGTGCAGTGTTTTGACTTTCGGCTCGGGAACAGAGCTGATAGAGATGTTTTGGTTTGGCCAAGGACTCTGTGAGCCTCATGCTCTGCCAGGGAGGAGGGGAAGCTGGGAGGAAGCAGAGACAGGACACCTGACCCAAACTGACCAAAGAGCTATTCCATACCACAGCACGTCATGCCCAGGATGTTACTGGGAGTTAGCCGGAAGGGCTGGGAGACTGCAGGGTTGGAGGAGGTATCGGTCGCAGCTTGGTCGGGCTTGGGGGGCGAGTTATCAGTCAGCGGGTGGTGAGGTGTTGTATTCTGTTCCCTTGTTATTTCCTTTATCATTATTATCATTGGTGGTAGCAGTAGTGATTTGTGTTATACCTTAGTTACTAAACTGTTCTTATCTCAACCCGTGGGAGTTGCATTCTTTTTGATTCTCCTCTCCGTCCCTCCGAGAGCAGGGGGAGGGCAAGAAAGGGGGGGAAGTGAGCGAACGAATTACCTGACTGGGTTTAAACCACGACAGTTCTTTTTGGCGCCCAACGTGGGGCACGAAGGGTTGAGATAACGACAGATTTGACTGGATTAATAGTCATTTGTCACAATGCTGATTTATTGGGTATCAGAGTTGTTCTTCTTGATCTCACAGCTTCAGACCGTTGTAACTTACGTAGAGCCGGTATTTGCTGTGATAGTGTTTATCAAGTGTGGGGCCTGGGCTAAGGTTCTTGTCTCACTGTGCTTTATGGCAATGGCTTGTAATACGGGCGGGCTCCAGCAGCAGGGCGGGACGGACGTGGCCGTGGACTTGTACCTGGCCGTCCGGCTGCTCTTCACCGTCCTGGCCCTCACCCTACTCTCCATCTTCGTGAGGCTGCGGGGAGCCGAGGGGGAGCGGCCCCGGGAGCCGGCGGCTGCTGAAGCGGCCCGGGAGAGCGGCCCCGGGGACCAAGCGGCGGCGGGAGCGGGGCCGGAGGCCGCGAGGGGACGACTGCCGGTGGAGGAGGCCGGGGCGGTCGAGGAGCAGAAGGAAGCGGCTGCCGAGCAGCGGGATAAGGCGGCGGAGGAGCCGAGCCCCGCGGAAGAGCCGAGCCCCGCGGAAGAGCCGAGCCCCACGGAGGAGCCGAGCCCCGCGGAGGAGCCCAGCCCCGCGACGGCTGAGAGCATTCCCCGGCAGCCGCCTGCCGAGCCCCAGGAGGATGCAGGAGACCACGCAGCATTTCCCAGCAAGGCAGAGGAGGAAGAGCTGGACTCAGGAAAAGAGAAGCTGGTGGTGGGAGAGCCGGCAAGCACAGCAGCCACACCAGCCCCAGTGACAAGCACAGCAGCATCGTTTGAGAGTTCTGAAGGCTCTGAATGGCCTTTGGGTATCCTTGGGACCTGCCTGCTGATTGTGATGGGGATCAGCATGTTGGCACACACACACACTGTGTTCTACCCACAACCATTTTGTCTGATCTCAAAAGTTAAGCAGAGTCAGGTTTGGGTCTTGTCTGGGGTTAGACAACAATATAGGGGGACCAAGAGATTTTCCCCAAGGCTGGAGAGTCATGAGTGGCAGGGTGTGTGGGACAGTATGGGCAAGTATCTAGTCCACTGGGCCCCTCCAGTGCTTTGGAAGCATCGGAGATGGAAGGCAGCTGTATGGAGTCCCCAGCAACAAGCTGCAGAAACTGCTTAAGGGGACAGTGAATTATTTTAAGTCTGGTGGGCCCATGGCACTTCAGGCCATCAGAGCAGAGATGCAACACAGAGATGGACTCATGATCGAGGGGTGGACTTAACAATGGACACTATTGCCCAGGTTATTCACGAGTGTAAACACTGCACACAGTCTCTCCTGCTCTGGGAGACTGGTACAAGAGATGGAGCCTGACATGGACCAGATGGACGCAGCAGCTTTATAGGGACTGGTCCATGCACTAAGATAAGAGTGCACCGAGATAAGAGTGATGGTATATTGAAAATGTGGGATCTGAGCATGACGTGAATAGTATGGAATAAGGGGTGGATAATGTCCTGGGTTCAGCAGTAGCAGTCATGTTTCTCCTCCTTGGTAGCTGGTGCAGTGCAGTGTTTTGACTTTCGGCTCGGGAACAGAGCTGATAGAGATGTTTTGGTTTGGCCAAGGACTCTGTGAGCCTCATGCTCTGCCAGGGAGGAGGGGAAGCCGGGAGGAAGCAGAGACAGGACACCTGACCCAAACTGACCAAAGAGCTATTCCATACCACAGCACGTCATGCCCAGGATGTTACTGGGAGTTAGCCGGAAGGGCTGGGAGACTGCAGGGTTGGAGGAGGTATCGGTCGGAGCTTGGTCGGGCTTGGGGGGCGAGTTATCAGTCAGCGGGTGGTGAGGTGTTGTATTCTGTTCCCTTGTTATTTCCTTTATCATTATTATCATTGGTGGTAGCAGTAGTGATTTGTGTTATACCTTAGTTACTAAACTGTTCTTATCTCAACCCGTGGGAGTTGCATTCTTTTGATTCTCCTCTCCATCCCTCCGAGAGCAGGGGGAGGGCAAGAAAGGGGGGGAAGTGAGCAAACGAATTACCTGACTGGGTTTAAACCACGACAGTCACTTACAAAGTAAGCCTGTTGATGGTGACTTAGGTCGGGGGAAAAGTTTCTTCTACTTGTGGTCAACAAAGGAGCCACAATCAATGCAATTAAATGCTGAAAAGTTAGGAAGGACAGAGGCCTTTGAAATCAGACCAGAAAATAACACTTGAATGTAATGTTCGATTTCTCACTCTAATTTCCCTCACTGAATAGACTATCTCCTAAGTTCCCCATGTAGGGATAGGATCTGGGTGGAGAGGGACTGGCAGAACAGTGAGCACTGGCTGGGCTGTTGGGTGCAGAGGGTGAGAGATTCTAGTCTGCAGGAGCCCAGAGACTGCCACAGGGGTTTGTCTTCTAAATCTGTCTAAACAGAACCAAAAGAGAATGCCATGGGGTGCAGGACCCATCCCACAGTATCTGAGCAAGAGCAGGAGGGCAGGAACAGAGACCTGGGACAAGCCAACACAGATCAAATCAATCCCCCGATCACGATCAGGTTCAGGAATTGCTAGGAAGATACATGAACAAGCTTTGGTCACCATCAAAGGATCCCATAGATGTGCACAACTCCTGCTAAAACGAAAACAAAAACTCAAAAATAGCCCAACTTCCCTGGGCTGAGCTTAAATAGAGATGAGGAGTAAATGGGTGGAGGGTAGGGATGAAGTCCCAGCTGAGGCTGCTCAGGGGAATAAAGGCCTA